TATACTAATTGAAGCGGTAGTTTTATTAGGAATTGAGAAGGAAGTAAATAGTCTTAAGATCACTTGGGATTTATAGAAATAAAAAATCTACTTCTTTCCTAACTATGACTCAAGGAAGAATACAATATAAAATTAACATATAACATTGGCTACGTAGAACCTTAGTAGCCAACATTTCATTACCTTGGAATAAAAGTTTTACAACTTAACGTTATTATAATTTTCTGATAAAAATGTATATTACCACAGTTAAGATAAAACTTTATATTATCTGTGATGGTAATTTGTTATGTTTTCAGTAGTAACTGTTAATGCTACAGATATAAAAAAATGGCAGTGAAAAAAATAGTAATTGATAAATCATTACTTATACTGATAACTTAAAAGTGTCTTCAGCTTTAAAATGTATATTATTGACAGACTGATAGATAATATCAATGCTACTATTACCGAAAAATAGTATAAATATAAAATTCATTGTTATCATTTTAGTCGTTTGTTGTTGACCTTAGTGGCTGGAAGCAAGTCTAATAAAGGCATGTGTTTGTTGTATTTTCTAAATTAATTATGTTAATGTTATCAACATAATTTATATAAGTTAATAAAAAAAATTATTAAATCTAATTATAATTAATTAAACAATTATTTAATTAACTTTCATCACCTATTCTGTGGTTCTTATGTGCTATATGAGATAGTCTATAGTTGTAATACCAATAACTGAGTAACTGCTATTTCGTAATCTAATTCATATTGAAAAAATAATCTATTATACAAATTTTAGCAATCGCTGCTATTAACTCTATTGAACAGTAGTATGCGTTTGCTATTTTAAAATAATTGCTACTACTATTTGTTATCACAAACATCTCTACCGGGATTACTTTTTTCAAAATTTTCGGTTAACTGATTCATAAACTTTAAATTGCTATAACTCTTAAACCACTTGTTTCTAAATAACATTTTTTACGTATTCTTTATCAACAAACTTCTCTCTCATCTTATCTACAATTGACGCTACACCTATATTATCTCTTATAATCTCCTTTACCTTTAAATATCGGCACCACAATACTATTCTCCCATTTTTATGATATTATTAATTTTAATTGAATTTTATTAATAATATCCTTTAACCACGTAATATTTTCCATACTTCTACTGGCACTTCATCTGGTCCTACTGGTTTATTCTTTTTCATTGATACCACAGCCTCCCATATCTCTTTCTCATTAATTTAATCTACCAGTCACATGTTCCACAATATATCCTCTAATGTATTTCTAGGATACATCTCATTCAGTATTTTCTAAATACTCTTTCCACCTTTTTAACACGCTTATATTAGTTTCACCTGTATGTATGTATGCATGTATGTATGTTTGTAACTCTCCAAGCGCCACGCGTTATCGCATATTCCGTCGTCTATAGCCTTGAGACTAGACTTTCATAACGCATTCACCCCACCCCACGCCTCGCTCTCAACACGATGGTAACACTATTTCTGTATAAATTAATTTTTGGTTATCGTTCCCGTACACACGTGCGTGTCATCAATATTATATATCGCACCCCTAGATCTAAACTGGTGTAACTCAAAAAACCTCTTTTTTCACAATTCAAGAAAAACTGATATGAAACTTGCATGCTGTCATTCAAGTAAACTGTCTTCTAGAGCTTTCTATTGGAAACCAAACAAAATATAGTTACTACAGTTTTATTCTCATGTAAGTAATAGAATCAGAAATCCTAAAATGAACATTATCTGAAAAATCGCATTTTTGAGTTACAACAGTTTAGATCTAGGGGTGCGATATATATAAGCAAATTTTTATTTTGACTGACCAGTACCATCCGCGTGCCATAAGACTTACGTATATATTCCTACCGCTGTTTATACCTCAGGTATAACGTTAGTCCCACCCGCCCGCNATTTCCGTATCATCATTTTTCGTCACTACCTCCACGTTCCGGGAGTGAGTAATTTGCGCGCCTGCTGCTTTCCTTGGATGTGGTAGGCCACTGGTAGCCGTTTCTCTGACTCCCTCTCCGGAATCGAATTCTGATTTCCTGTTACCCGTAACAACCAAGATATTGATAGTAACTACTATCATAACATGAAAGTAAAAAGTGATAAATATAGTTAAAAAAAACTAAAAAACACGCTTTTAAAGCACATCGAACTAAAAAGTCAAAAATAATTTTTATAATAAGCTTAAAACAATAATGTACGAAAAGTACTAGTATTATTGTGATAAAAGCGTCGGGCGCTCAATATAAGAAAAATATGGCACAAAGCATTATATGTGATATAATAAAGAGTTGGACCTATGAAATATTTAACCACTTATAAATCAAGAAATAAATAATTCTTACCAAAATTAAAACAAAATTCTCAAAATTATCCTTTATATTAATATTTTGATTTTTTAAAATGTTTTTTTTTATATTAGCTTCGTCGATGTGAAGCTGAGAAGGTATTAATTTTACTAAGATGTGTTTTTTTTTTTTTTTTATGTCTATTACCAATTTTTCTCGGCTCTCACTGAACCGATTTCTTTCAATGATGCGTCGAAAGATCACAAATCGTATCTAATCGAAGACATTACCCTTAAAAATTGAAAAAATTTCCCTCGTTCACCGTGAATGGGGGAAACCTCCAAAAAAATTACTAATTTAAAAATCTCTAATTTTCAAAATTTTTTCTATTTTTTTTAATAAAATGTGCCGCAAATTTTTCAAAAATGAATATATCAATATACCCAACCATAACTTTTTTAAAAAAACATATCAATATCATTTTTTTTTATAGATACATAATGTTCTTACCTATCATTTGGTATATTTTTTTTTCATATCTGACCCTTTACCTGCCCACAGGGGGGGATTTAAAATGAAAACTTTTTCACAATAAATTAATTTTTTCAACTTTACTTTTGAAAGTGTTCCGGAAAGTCTGACACTTTTATATATATTTTAAATTAAAGCAAATGTAATATACTTTATTATGAAAAAAAAAATGTCGGACTTTAATTTGTCTTCATGTTGAAAATGACTACTGAATACTATTTTTGTGTGAAAATACTCGATTTTATTTTTTACATTTTACATCAATACAATTTTTATGAGAAATAATATTTATATCCCTCTTTTATTCGACATACTTTATCTTAATCAGGATATAAATAAAGAAATAGCAGATCATGCAGCTTTTGGAATAATCAACCAATTTTTTAAAACTAAACACTATCTAAAGATTTGCATCGAAGCGTTTTTTTTTTATGGTGATTTTAATCACTGTCAGATATCATAATACTTGATCCAACTATGCACGTCACCACTGTGCCGCGACCCCTGTGTGCTGGGTTTTTTTCTAAACTATATTTATTTCATATGATCATCACACATCACTTATCATCACTTTTTATACACCTTACATTGTGACAATATTTATACTGTTTTCCTCTTACTTTTGTAAGTCTACAGAATTCTTTTTCACAATATTATGTTTCTATTCCATCATTCAACCCAACATAACTAACAAACTTAGATAAAGTTTGTTAAAAGTAAGGCATACTTACCGCACACTTGGCTCAAAAAACTAAATTAATTTAAAAAATATATATATATATATCCGATAATGTAGATTTATTTCTAATTATTATCATAATTAAAAACCTAGCACAGTGGTGACGTGGCATTGATGGACAAGTATAATAATATCTGACAGTGATTAAAATCACTATAAAAAAAAAACGCTTCGATGCAAATCTTTAGATAGTGTTTAACTTTAAAAAATTGG